TCGGTAGAGCAGGGGAAAACTTTTAATCTCGGGGTTGGGTTCGAAACCCCAGTTGGGCGAAATTTTTTAAATTGATTTCGGAGAAAAGGGGGCTCTTTTTCCATTTTTTAAAAAAATTTACGGAAGACCCGGAATTCATTTTTTCAATTAAAATTTTGAGGGCCGCTATAAACTAACATTCAAACAAAAATGCTTGCTAGCTCAGTCGGTAGACACAACTCTTAATCTGGGGGTTTGGGGGTTCGAGCCCCACTTGGGGCAAAATATTTTAATTGATTTGGAGTAAAGGGCGATTTTTCCCATGCTTAAAATACGGAAAAGCGCGAATTCATTTTGTTTCAAATTTAGTGTGCGCTATCGAAACTAAACATTCAAACAAAAATGCGCCCGGCTAGCTAGTCGGTAGGACGGACTTTATCTCGGGGTCGGGGGTTTTGGGCCCACGTTGGGCGAAAAATTTTTTTAAATTTAGATTTCGGGAAAAGGGGGCGATCTTTTCCATTTTTCTTAAAGAAATTACCGGTACAGAGCGCGAATTAGTTTCAATATGTTATGATGTGCGCTATCAGAAAAAAACATTCAAAAAAAATCCCCCGGCTAGCTAGTCGGTAGGCCAGCTCTTAATCTCGGGTCGTGGGTTCCCGGAAACCCCGTTGGGCGAAGATATTTTAGTAATTTCGGGAAAAGGGCGTCTTTTCCATGTTTCTTAAAAAATTCCCCGGACGAGCGCAATTCATTTTTTTTTCAATATAAATTTGATGCCCCTTCAGAAAAAAACATTCAAAAAATCCCCCGGCTACTCGTGGTAAACACGAACTCTTAATCCCCCGGGGTCTGGGTTCGAAACCCGTTGGGCGAAGATATTTTAATTAGATTTCGGAGTAAAGGGGCGATCTTTTTCGCATGTTTCTTAAAGAAATTACCGGTACAGAGCGCGAATTCATTTTGTTTCTTATGAAGAATTATAGTGTGCGCTATCAGAAACTAAACATTCAAAACAAAATGCGCCCAGCTAGCTCAGTCGGTAGAGCACGGGGCTCTTAATCTCATAAAGGGTCGTGGGTTTCGAAAACCCCACGTTGGGCGAAGATATTTTAATTAGATTTCAGCGGGAGTAAAGGGGCGATCTTTTCGCATGTTTCTTAAAGAAATTACCGGTACAGAGCTCGAATTCATTTTGTTTCAATAAATTATGATGTGCGCTATCAGAAACTAAACATTCAAACAAAAAATGCGCCCGTCTAGCTCAGTCGGTACAGCACGAGACTCTTAATCTCGGAGTCGTGGGTTTCGAGCCGCGTTGGGCGAATATATTTTAATTAGATTTCCGGAGTAAAGGGCGATCTTTTTCATGTTTCTTAAAGAAATTACCGGTACAAGGCGCGAATTCATTTTGTTTTAATATGAAATTATGATGTCGCTATCAGAAACTAAACATTCAAACCAAAATGCGCCCGGCTTCGCTCAGTCAGTAGAGCACGGGGCGCTCTTAATCTCGGGGTCGTGGGTTCCGAAGCCCCACGTTGGGCGAAGATATTTTCATTAGATTTCGGAGTAAAGGGGCGATCTTTTCGCATGTTTCTTAAAAGAAATTGCCGGTACAAGAGCGCGAATTCCATTTTGTTTTCAATATGAAATTATGATGTGCGCTATCAGAATTAAACATTCAAACAAAATGCGCAAGGCCAAAAGTAGTCCGGTAGAGCACGAGACTCGTAATCTCTCCGGGGTCGTGGGTTCGAGCCCCACGTTGGGCAAGAAAGATATTTTCATTAGATTTCGGAGTAAAGGGAGCGATCTTTTCGCATGTTTCTTAAAGAAATTACCGGTACAAAGCACGTATTCATTTTGTTTCAATATGAAATTATGATGTGCGCTATCAGAAACTAAACATTCAAACAAAATGCACCCGGCTAGCTCAGTCGGTAGAGCACGAGACTCTTAATCTCGGGTCGTGGGTTCGAACCCCACGTTGGGCGAATATATTTTAATTAGATTTCGGAGTAAAGGGAGCGATCTTTTCACGTGTTTCTTAAAGAAATTACCGGTACAGAGCGCGAATTCATTTTGTTTCAATATGAAATTATGATGTCGCTATCAGAAACTAAACATTCCAAACAAAATGCGCCCGGCTAGCTCAGTCGGTAGAGCACGAGACATATAGCAATCTCGGGGTCGTGGGTTCCGGAAACCCCACGTTGGGCGAAGATATTTTATTTAGATTTCGGAGTAAAGGGCGATCTTTTCGCATGTTTTACAACTGAAATTACCGGTACAAGAGCGCGAATTCATTTTGTTTCAATATGAAATTATGATGTGCGCTATCAGAAACTAAACATTCAAACAAAATGCGCCCGGCTAGCTCAGTCGGTAGAGCACGAGACTCTTAATCTCGGGGTCGTGGGTTCCGAACACGTTGGGACGAATATATTTTAATTAGATTTCGGAGTAAAGGGAGCGATCTTTTCACGTGTTTCTTAAAGAAATTACCGGTACAGAGCGCGAATTCATTTTGTTTCAATATGAAATTATGATGTCCGCTATCAGAAACTAAACATTCAAACAAAATGCGCCCGGCTAGCTCAGTCGGTAGAGCACGAGACTCTTAATCTCGGGGTCGTGGGTTCGAGCCCCACGTTGGGCGAAGATATTTTAATTAGATTTCGGAGTAAAGGGAGCGATCTTTTCGCATGTTTCTTAAAGAAATTACCGGTTTAGAGCGCGAATTCATTTTTGTTTCAATGAAATTATGATGTCACTATCAGAAACTAAACATTCCGACAAAACGCGCCCGCTGGCTCAGTCGGTAGAGCACGAGACTCTTAATCTCTCGGGGTCGTGGGTTCAACCCGTTGGGCGAAGATATTTAATTAGATTTCCGGAGTAAAGGGCGATCTTTTCGCATGTTTCTTAAAGGAAATTACCGGTACAGAGCGCGAATTCATTTTGTTTCAATAGCAAATTATGATGTACGCTATCAGAAACTAAACATTCAAACAAAATGCGTCGAGAAGTTAGCTCAGTCGGTAGAGCACAGGGCCTCTTAATCTCGGGGGTCGTAGGATCGACCCGTTGGGCGAAGATATTTTAATTGAATTTCCGGAGTAAGAACTGATCTTTTCGTATTTCTTAAAATTACCGGTACAGAGCGCGAATTCATCTTGTTTCAATATGAAATTTTGATGTCCGCTATAAGAACTAAACATTCAAACCAAAATGCGCCCGGCTAGCTCAGTCGGTAGGCACGAGACTCTCTTAATCTCCGGGGTCACAATGAGTTCGAGCCCACGTTGGGCGAAGATATTTTTAGTAGAATTCGGGTAAAGGGAGCGATCTTTTTCGCATGTTTCTTAAAGAAATTACCGGTACAGAGCGCGAATTCACATTTTGTTTCAATATGAAATTATGATATGCGCTATCAAGAAACTAAACATTCAAACAAAATGCGCCCGAAAACTGGCACTCCAGTCGGTAGAGCACGAGACTCTTAATCTCGGAGTTCGTGGGTTCGGAAAGGCCACGTTGGGCGAAGATATTTTAATTAGATTTCGGATAAAGGGCGATCTTTTCGCATGTTTCTTAAAGAAGTTACCTGCCGGTACAGAGCGCGCGAATTCATTTTGTTTCAATATGAGTATGATGTGCGCTATCAGGAAACTAAACATTTCAACAAAATGCGCCCGGCGCTAGCTCAGTCGGTAGAGCACAGACTCTTAATCTCGAGGTCGTGGGTTTCGAAACCCACGATGGGCGAAGATATTTTAATTAGAATTCGGAGTAAAGAGGCGATCTTTCGCATGTTTTCTTAAAGAAATTACCGGTACAGAGCGCGAATTCGTACTGTTTCAATATGAAATTATGATGTGCGCTATCAGAAACTAAACATTCGAACAAAATGCGCCCGGCTAGCTCAGTCGGTAAGAGCACGAGGGCGCTCTTAATCTCGGGGTCGTGGGTTCGGAAAACCCACGTTAGGCGAAGATATTCCTGAGTGAATTTCAGGTAAAGGGGCGATCTTTTCGCATGTTTTTCTTAAAGAAATTACCGGTACAGAGCTCGAATTCATTTTGTTTCAATATGAAATTATGATGTGCTCTATCAGAAACTAAACATTCAAACAAGATAATGCGCCCGTCTAGCTCAGTCCCATTTTCAGCACGAGACTCTTAATCTCGGGGTCACGTGGGTTCGAGCCCCACGTTGGGCGAATATATTTTAATTAGATTTCGGAGTAAAGGGCGATCTTTTCGCATGTTTCTTAAAGAAATTACCGGTACAGAGAGCGAATTCATTTTGTTTCAATATGAAATTATGATGTCACTATCAAGCTAAACATTCAAACAAAATGCGCCCGGCGGCGAAACAAGTCGGTAGAGCGAGACTCTTAATCTCGGGGTCATTGGGTTCGAAACCCCACGTTGGGCGAAGATATTTTGATGAATTTCTAGTAAAGGGAGGCGATCTTTCGCGTGTTTTCTTAAAAATTACCGGTACAAAGCGCGAATTCATTTTGTTTTAATATGAAATTTTGATGTCACTATCAGAAACTAAACATTCAAACAAAATGCGCCCGGCTATAGCTCAGTCAGTAGTGCACGGGGCGCTCTTAATCTCGGGGTCGTGGGTTTCCAGAACCCCACGTTGGGCGGTATATTTTAATTAGATTTCCTAGTAAAGGGAGCGATCTTTTCGCATGTTTCTTAAAGAAATTACCGGTACAAAGCGCGAATTCATTTTGTTTCAGTAGCAAATTTTGATGTACGCTATCAGAGGCGCTAAACATTCAAAACCAAAATGCGCCCGGCTAGCTCCAGTCGGTAGAGCACGGGAACTCTTAATCTCAGGGTCGTGGGATCGACCCCACGTTGGGCGAAGATATTTTTAATTGGAATTTCCGGAGTAAAGGGAGCGATCTTTTCAGCGTGTTTTCTTAAAAGAAATTACCGGTACAGAGCACGATTCATTTTGTTTCAATATGAAATTATGATGTGCGCTATCAGAAACTAAACATTCAAACAAAAATGCACCCGGCTAGCTCAGTCGGTAGAGCACGGAACTCTTAATCTCGGGTCGGTTCGAACCCCGTTGGGCGAATATATTTTAGTGGGTGTTCGGGTAAAGGGGCGATCTTTTTCACGTGTTTCTTAAAGGAAATTACCGGTACAGAGCGCGAATTCATTTTACATTTCAATATGAAATTATATGATGTCCGCTATCAAACTAAACATTCAAACAAAATGCGCCCGGCTAGCTCAGTCGGTAGAGCACGAGACTCTTAATCTCGGGGTCGTAGGTTCGAGCCCACGTTGGGCGAAGATATTTTTATTTAGATTTCGGAGTAAAGGGCGATCTTTTCATGTTTCTTAAAAGAAATTACCGGTTTTAGAGCGCGAATTCATTTTATTTCAATATGAAGTATGATGTCGCTATCAGAAACTAAACATTCAAACAAGAAGAAACGCGCGCCCGCTAAGCTCAGTCGGTAGAGCACGAGACTCTTAATCTCGGGGTCGTGGGTTCCGAGCCCCCGTTGGGCGAAGATATTTTAATTAGATTTCGGAGTAAAGGGAGCGATCTTTTCGCATGTTTCTTAAAGAAATTACCGGTACAGAGCGCGAATTCATTTTGTTTCAATATGAAATTATGATGTGCGCTATCAGAAACTAAACATTCAAACAAAATGCGCCCGGCTAGCTCAGTCGGTAGAGCACGAGACTCTTAATCTCGGGGTCGTGGGATCGACTTACGTTGGGCTGAAGATGTTTTGATAGATTTCAGGTAAAGGGGCGATCTTTTCAGCGTGTTTCTTGAAATTACCGGTACAGAGCGCGAATTCATCTTGTTTCAATATGAAATTTTGATGTCCGCTATCAGAAACTAAACATTCAAACAAAATGCGCCCGGCTAGCTCAGTCGGTAGAGCACGAGACTCTTAATCTCGGGGTCGTGGGTTCGAGCCCCACGTTGGGCGAAGATATTTAAATAGATTTCGGAGTAAAGGGAGCGATCTTTTCGCATGTTTCTTAAAGAAATTACCGGTACAGGCGCGAATTCATTTTGTTTCAATATGAGAATTATGATGTGCGCCTATCAGAAACTAAACATTCAAAACAAAATGCGCCCTTCCAAGCTCAGTCGGTAGAGCACGAACTCTTAATCTCCGGGTTCGTAGGTTCGGAAACCCCAGGCTGGGCGAAGATATTTTAATTAAGATTTCGGAGTAAAGGGCGATCTTTTCGCATTTTCTTAAAAAAAGAAATTACCGGTACAGAGAGCGAATTCATTTTGTTTCTATGTAGAAACCCATGATGTGCGCTATCAGAAACTAAACATTCAAACAAAATGCGCCCAGCTAGCTCAGTCCGGTAGAGCACGGGGCGCTCTTAATCTCGGGTCGTAGGTTCCCGAGGAAACACGTTGGGCGAAGATATTTTAATTAGATTTCCGGAAGTAGGAGCGATCTTTTCGCATGTTTTCTTAAAAATTACCGGTACAGAGCTCAGACTGTTTTGTTTCAATATATGAAATTATGATGTGCGCTATCAGAATTAAACATTCAAACAAAATGCGCAAGGCTAGCTCAGTCGGTAGAGCACGAGACTCTTAATCTCTCGGGGTCGTGGGTTCGGAAAACGTTGGGCGAATATTTTCATTAGATTTCGGAGTAAAGAGGGGGCGATCTTTTCGCATGTTTCTTAAAGAAATTACCGGTACAGGAAAGCGCGAATTCATTTTTATTTCAATATGAGAGGAAATTATGATGTGCGCTATCAGAAATTAAACCTTATTCAAACAAAATGCATAAGGCTAAGCTCGGATCGGTAGAGCACGAGACTCGTAATCTATAGGGTCGTGAGTTCGGAGCCACGTTAGGCGAAGATATTTTCATTAGATTTCAGGTAAAGGCAGCGATCTTTTCGCATGTTTCTTAAAGAAATTACGGTACAAAGCACGTATTGTTTTGTTTCAATATGAAATTATGATGTGCGCTATCAGAAATAAACATTCAAACAAATGCACCCGGCTAAGCTCAGTCGGTAGAGCACGAAGACTCTTAATCTCGGGTCGTGGGTTCCGAACCCACGTTGGAGCGAATATATTTTAATTAGATTTCAGGTAAAGGGGCGATCTTTTTCGTGTTTCTCCAAAGGAAATTACCGGTACAGGCGCGAATTCATTTGTTTCAATATGAAATTATGATGTCCGCTATCCAGAAACTAAACATTCAAACAAAATGCGCCCGGCTAGCTCAGTCGGTGAGCTTTAGACTCTCTTAATCTCGGGGTCATTAGGTTCGGAAACCCCACACGTTGGGCGAAGATATTTTTATTTAGATTTCAGGAGTAAAGGGAGCGATCTTTTCGCATGTTCTTTAAGAAATTACCGGTACAGGGCGCGTTATTTTGTTTCAATATAAAATTTTGATGTGCCCCATCAAAAACAAACATTAAAAACAAAATGGCGGCTGCTCAGTCGGTAGAGCACGACTTTTAAAACCCCTCGGGGTTTCGACCCCCTTGGGGAAGATTTTTAAAATTTGGGAGAAAAAAGGGGCATTTTTTCGCTGTTTTTAAAGAAATTTAAAGGTGAGCGCAATTTTTTGTTTAAATTTAAAATTTTATGTCCCATAAAAACCCAAAATTAAAAAAATGCCCCCGGCTGGGCTAGTGGTAGAGCACAGACTTTTAAACCGGGGTCGGGGGTTACCCCCCACGTTGGGGAATTAGATTTCGGAGTAAAAAGCGATCTTTTCCATTTTTTTAAAGAAATTGGTTTTACAGACGCAAATTATTTTGTTTCAATTAAATTATATGTCCCCTCGAACCAAAATTCAAACAAAATGCCCCCGGCTAGCTCACGGTAGAGCAAGGACTTTCTGGGGTCGGGGGTTCCCCCACTTTGGGGCGAAGATATTTTTTTAGATTTGGGAGTAAAGGGGCGATTTTTCGCATGTTTTAAAAAAATTACCGGTACAGAGGCGAATTATTTTGTTTCAATATGAAATTATGTGCGATCAGAAACAAACATTAAAAAAAATGGGCAGCTCGTCGGTAGAGACAGGCCCTTTTATCTCGGGGCGGGGCCCCCACGTTGGGCAAAGATATTTTTTTAGTTTTGGAAAGGGGATTTTTCGCATGTTTTAAAAAAAGGTACAGAGCCGAATTCATTTTTTCAATATGAAATTATATGTGCCATCAGAAACTAAACATTCAAAAAAAAATGCGCCCGTTCATCTAGGGAAAGGACTCAAAATTTCGTCGTGGGCGAGCCCCAGTTGGGGAAATATTTTTTTAGATTTCGGGTAAAGGAGGATCTTTCCCATTTTCTTAAAAAAAACCCGGGGTACAGGCAAATTTCTTTTTTTTCAAAAAAATTTGATGTCGCCTCAAAAACAAACATTCAAAAAAAATGCCCCCGGCACCCAGTCGGTGAGCACAGACTTTTATTGGGGTCTGGGCGACCCACGGGGCAAAGATATTTTTATTAGTTTTGAGTAAAGGGCGATTTTTTCGCATGTTTCTTAAAGAAACCGGTACAGGCGCAAATTTTTTGTTTAAATTTTGTTATAGGCCATCAAAAATAAACATTCAAACAAAACCCCCGGGGCTAGCCAGTGGTAGAGCACAAACCTTATCTGGGTCGGGGGTTTGGGGACCCCCACGTTCAAGATTTTTTATTGACGGAGAAAGGGGGAAAAGGACTTTTCCATGTTTCTAAAGAAATTACCGGTACAAGCCGAATTCATTTTTTTCAATATAAAATTATATGTGCGCATCAGAAACCAAACATTCAAACAAAATGCCCCCGCTGGGTAGGCAAGCCCTTTTAAATTGGGGTGGGGTTCGAAACCCCATTTGGGGCAAAATATTTTATAGATTTGGGAGTAAAGGGGCGATCTTTTCCGTTTTTAAAGAAATTACCGGTAAGACCCAATTATTTTTTTAAATATGAAATTGATTCGCTATCAGAAACTAAAATTCAAACAAAATGCGCCCGGCTGCTCTGGTAGAGCACGGCTTTTATTCCGGGTCTGGGTTGACCCCTTTGGGGGGAAGATATTTTTATTAGATTTGGGGAGTAAAGGGGGGGATCTTTTTTTTTTTTAAAAAAAATTTACCGTACAAGGGGAATTCTTTTTGTTTCAATATAAAATTTTTGGCCCAGCAAAATTAAAACAAAATGCCCCCGGCTGCTCAGCGGTAAGACGGATTAATCTGGGGTCGGGTTTCGGCCCCGGGGGGAAAGATATTTTTTAGATTTGGGTAAAGGAAGCATCTCGTTTTTTTTTAAAGAAATTAGGCCGGGAATTCATTTTTTTTCAATATGAAATTTGATGTCCGCATCAGAAAAAACTTCAAACAAATGCGCCCGGCTAGTCAGTCGGTAAAACCAGCTTTTAATCTCGGGTCGGGGTTCGAGCCCACGGGGCAAATATTTTTTAGATTTGGGAGTAAAGGGAAGGATCTTTCGCATTTTTTTAAAAAAATTAGGTACAGAGCGCGAATTCATTTTGTTTCAAATAAATTAGAGGGCGCATGAAACTAAAACAAAAAAGGGCCCCGGCTACCAGCCGGTAGAGACGAGCTTTTAATCTGGGGTCGGGTTTCCCCCCGTTGGGCAAAATTTTTATTAGATTTCGGAGTAAAGAGGATTTTTCGCGTTTTTAAAAAGAAATTCCCGGGTACAGACCGAATTCATTTTGTTTCAATAAAAATTATGGGGCCAAAACTAAACATTAAAAAACAAAATGCGCCCGGCTAGCCCCCATTGAGCACGAGACTTTTAAACCGGGGGGTCGGGTCGGCCCCACGTTGGGCAAAAGATATTTTATTAGTTTTCGGAGTAAAGGAAAGCGATTTTTTCGCATGTTTCTAAAGAAATTATGGCGAATTATTTTTTTTCAATATAAATTATGATGCGCATCAAAAACAAAACATTCAAAAAAAAGCGCCCGCTAGCTCGTCGGTGACCAAAACTTTTACCGGGCGGGGCGAGCCCACGTTGGGGAAAGATTTTTAAAAATTAGATTTCGGAAAGGGCGATCTTTTCGCTGTTTTTAAAAAAATTACCGGTACAGGGGCCGAATTATTT